TGACAGGCCAGCCCTATAAAGAGCAACAGTTGAAACAGACTAACCCTGATCAAACAACAGGGATAAGTGAGAAACAGAAGGATGGGATGGTCGGAAGCCATGGAAAATTGACCAAAGTATGAAGTAAAACTAATGACTCTGGGACTTAGACAAGGAGGAAGGGCGAATGGTACAAGCAAGAAAAGATGCTGCGGGTTCCAGAGCTGAGGCACAGGGCAAGACAAAAGTGGCATGTGAAGATGAAGTGTGGAATATTGGGATGAAAAACATCTGATTATGGCTATTGGAAGAGCAATCAGAACAGAGAGAAGGGCAGGGGTTGTTGCTCCAGTAAAGGCCAGAGTAAAGGGAACACATCTAAGCCAGCCAATACAGAGCAACCAACAAGGAGTGTTCTGTATAAGCGAAAATACCCAAGAGATGAGTCTGATAGGGGAGTAGGCATATAGGTGAAGACCCTCCAATCTTGACTGAAAGCATCTACCCCCAGAGCTGAAGTGAGGAAATTGAGACCTAAAAAGGAAGGAAGTTAGGTATTCCAGTGAGTGGGAAACACACACACATATATGGTGTGCCCAGTGGAGAATATATTCACAGAAATACCTGAGGATGAAGGGACCACTCCATGGAGAACATGGTTGGGATATAATAAGAGAAAGGCCACAAGATTCATAACTCCAGGAACATGACGTACCAGAACTGTCATATCATGGTTGTTGGCCTAGTACAGAAAATCTAGAGTCTGAAAATACCAAGATTTGGACTTGGTTCCCCCTTGCTTGGTGTTATAGCTGACGACAGTGGAATTGTCAGAATGAACCATAACCACCCCTCCTGCAAGAATGGGAAGAAATGATACAGAGCCCAATGAATTGCCAAAGGTTCATGGATGTGGATATGGAGAGTAGCTTCCTTGACTGACCACCGACTCGAAATCTCTTAGAAATGAAAGAAGGCTCTCCAACTCACCAAGGAAACATCCATGAACAGATGAGACTTGGGTTGAGGTGGAGAAATGGGAGGTCCACTGTGATCAAGTCCTTGTCGAGCCAACAAGCAAAGTTGGCCCTGATCCCAGATGGGAGATGAGATGGTCCAAGGGATCATGGGAGAAGTTTCACTGTAGTAGTATCCAATGAAGGGAATGCATGTGTTGCAACCCAAGGAAGCCTACATTCCCAAAAGAGATATAACCTCTCGTGCAAGAGGGAGAAGGAGAAGGTAAGGCTATTGTGACTGCCTGTTCCATATCCTGGAGCTGAAATGGAGAGGGCTGGGCTTCACCAAAATGGGAAGGGAAGAGAACCCCCAAGTAAATAAGATACCGCAAGGTGGTAGTAAAGTACTTCTCCAACTTGATGAGAAACCCCACCCGAGCAACTTCTCGTAGAAGTAAGTGGATGTGAGTGAGTTGCATGGGAAGATGCAAACAGAAGCTGGTCATCCATGGGCTGGAGTTTCCTAAGTGAGTGAAGATGATGTGCAAAAGAGCATACCACTCAACAAAACACATATGGAGCTGAAGAAAGACCAAACAGCAGCATCCAGAACTGGAAGCCCAAACCTTTGTAGATAAACCAAAGAAAACAACGAGACACTGGGGCAAAAAACCACCAAAGTGAGAAGTAGGACTCCAAGGTGAAACAAGGTGTCTCCAAATAAGTATACAGCTGGGACAGAGCAATGATTTGACTTCAATCTCCCATGTTTTACGAGACAACACAAAGATGGGAGTAAAATCTTGGTTGATTGGGCACCACCCATTTGATAGCTCCTTTGTGTATTAGGTCTCAAACAAACTTGGCAAGATGACTGGACAAGGCACAATCCCTAGGAGGAGGGAAGGAGATCTTGGAAGTGGATGGAGGGGAAATGAAACAGGAGGCAGAAACCCTCAGATAGAACCTGTATAACCCACAAAACTGTTGTGAAGTGTAGCCCAAAAGACATAAACTAAACATACTTAGAGAAAGGGCTCATTACTAATAAACTCACAAAACTTAGAAACGTGTAGAGTCTACAAAGTACATAAAAATTACCCTGCAAAACTATGAAATTTGACTGAAAACATAAAAGAATAAGTAACACCTAAAGTACAAAACCAATAAAGGAACAATAATCACCCTTAAATATATATATAGCGTATAAGTTCACTCAAAGAATCTATAAGACAAAGGACACGAAAATAAAATCTGCCCTTAAGAACATGAGAGTAAAAAGGCACCCAGTTAACAATAACAAAGTTTGATTCAAATCTAATCTCCAATTAGATTTGGCTAGTAGTAATTAAAAAGGAACTTACAAACTAAATAACAATTACAGTGAAAAGAAGTAAATCTTTAAACAAAAATAAAATAAATAATCAAACTCCAAACACAAGTTTAAGCTAAAGTAACCTAGATGGTAAAATATGTATAAAAGTCTAATTTATCCAACACTGAGCAAAGAAGACATGAATGACCTAAATTATTGAATGCAGAAATTAAATCCTTCCACACTAGCTCACATAAACTCACTGAAAACCTTACCACAGATCTACTGGGAAAAAGAACAATACCTAACTCGGCATATTATGTGGAGGCATGGTATCAGGTGGAAAATTTTGGAGAAAAGCAATTTCCACACAGTAGTTATATCCCTCTGCACATAAAAAGTAACTTGAAAGGAAAAATCGTCAGCTGAATGCAAGACAAGAATCTTTGGTGAAATAAAGCTTGTGCTTCTCCAGCAGCCATCGTCGACCATGAGACTGGAGACTAGTGTCAGAACCATTGTCTACTTGGTTCAGGAATTTCATTATCTGCCATATTAAATCTTGAATTCACATGAATAAAGTAAAAATCGGAAAACATAAAAATTTCTAAAACAAATGAGTAGAAACAATGGAAATGAAACACAAGAAGTCAAAACTTGAAGTTGAAACTGATATGAATTTGTGATCAAGCACAATCAAAATTTTATGTTCACAAGGAGAATGAGTTAAACCGCATGTCTAGACATTAGAATGCCAATTGAGAAAGTGAGGATTGTGTTACAATGGAAGAGGGAGCTACCTGCACTAGTATAGATGGCACAGTATGATTGGTGGAAGGTAGTCACATGGTTAGCAGATGTTGCTGTAATGGCACAAAAATGAAGGGGTATAATAGACTGGTGTGCTGTTGAACGTTTTAACAATGTTTAGAGAGCAAATCAAGGTCGAGATAGTTTAGTTTTGGGTGAGGTGTAGTACCATTTCAGAAAATCAAAATATTATCTCTGAAACAAATTTCCACCAAACTGCCCCATGTGGTACTAAACCCAAAGTGCAGAAAACTGGATACCCTCTTCATCACATTTTCTCATATGTAGGCTCCTGTAATTACAACCTCTCGAAATGTATTGTCCCTATTCTTAATCTCCACACTTTGAATAAATTTACTATCACCAATTCTTTTAACTTTGCTTTATGAAATCTTTAAAATTCCCTCTGCTTATCAATATTTTATTGCCAGCTTTGATACTGAGTCTCTCTATACTAATATTCCCCTTGATGAAACTTTAAATTTAACAGTGAATCTTCTCTTTCATTCCGACACTGATTGGTATCTTGGTTTCTCTTTTAAACAATTCTTAGAACTTCTTGCCCACTCCACAAAGACAAACCATTTCCTCTTTAATAATGTCATTTATGACCAGATAGACAGAATTGCCATGGGATCCCTGTTGGTTGAATGATAGCCAACAGATTTCTATACTATCATGAATGTAAGTGGCTAGAAAACTGCCCACACAATTTCAAACCTGTCCTTTACAAATGCTATATTGATGACACTTTCTTTCTGTTTTGACAATCAAGTCATGTTTCTAAATTTATTTCTCACCTTAATTCCTAACACCTCGATATCAAGTTCCCATCTGAACTTGAAGAGAATTAATCTTTACCTTTACTTAGACGTCAGGATTACCAAGGAAGATATACACTTTTCTATCTCTGTTTATCATAAAACTACTTTCACAGGCGTTTATACCAATTTTAATAGTTTTATCCCCAACTCCTTCAAACATAATCTAGTCTTGTCACAGTTAAACAGAATATTCAACCTTTGCTCGAGTTACTCCATTTTTCAAGGAGAAATAGCAATTCTACACAAACACCTGTTAAATAATGGCTATCCAACTGATTTTCTAACAAATATTACTCACAATTTCCTAAACAACAAATTCCAGCCACCTGCTACTGTGCACACCATCCTCAAATTTTCACTCATTATCTGCCTTCCTTTTACTGGCTCACAATTCCTACAAGTTAAATTCTCTCTTTAATTAAAAAATTTCTACCCTCAAATTCAGTTCAGACTAATATACAGACCTAGTCTCTGCATTAAACACCTATTTCAACATGAAGTTCAAATAGCTAAACTTCTATGTTCATGGTTCATGTACAAGTATACATGTAGTGACTGTAAGGTCATGTACATTGGCAAATCAAATTACCACTTGAAAACTAGAGTCTGTGAACATTTAGGAGGATCAAACAGAATTGACTGTTCATTACTTAAACCCAGCCAATCATCTATTTGTTCACATGTTAAAACCACAAGTCACAATATATCATATAATGATTTCACTATCATTACTACAGGATCTTCAGACCTTGAACTCTACATTAAAGAAAGTTTACTCATAACTAAGGACCATCCTACTCTTAATAACTTACAAACCTCTTTAGATCTAAAATTATTCTCAATTTACACAGTTAAAAACTCAACTGTTTTGTAATATATTCTATAATTGTTTTCATATTTTTCATTCCATTTACTACACTGCTCAATATCTAAGTAAACTAGTTATTAATAATATTATAACATTAGTTAATAAATATCTTTGTAACACAATTTTCAAATTTCGCTTTAGATGGAATAAATGTATTCTGAAATGTTCAAATCTTTTAAATAAAATGTTTTATTATTATACTAAGTTTTATTATATTTCTATAGTTTTTAGTTATAAATAAAAACCTTCTCTAAAGTTGCCATCCATGAACGGGCCAGGTGGCAATTCTGTAGAACTACCCATGTTCCTTTTTTTCTAGCTTCTGCAATCATTTTCATGGCAATGGGTCCCTGTCCTTGTCCAAGTGAAAGAGAGTTAAGTCTATCTCCTGTGTAACCCTATAAAAACCCCAATGGTAACATTTGAAATAAATGCTTAGAGACTATCAGAGTACAATATAGTATAAATAATTAAATTTAGCACTCAAAATAAAAAAAAGGAATGTGACCCACATATAAAAGGTAACATGAAAAGATAATCCTAAAATATTAGCTTATAGAAACTGAACAAAGTGAACCTTAAAATTATCAGACTTATTGCCAAATTATGAATCAGTACTATATTATAAAAAATTATCATAAGACACACTTGATCATCAGCAAACTTCAACAAGGCAGCTGTAGGATCAGCCCCTGGTGACAGTACAAAGATCAGAGGAGCAGAACACTGACTATCCAGGAAAGTTTTGGCCAAGTCAAATGGTGGAGGTTCTATGAAATGGGCTCCAAGCTTCTCCTCTACAAAGTTTTGAATCCCAGGAATCACTTTGTCTGGACGTAGGCATCTCAATATTAAAAGTTTCTGAAAAGTTCCCAACTTTTTTTCCCAAGAGTCTGGTAAATACTCCTCATGGGGAGTCTACAAAAATTCAGAAAATTCATTCAGTAATTTTATTATACATAGCATCCTATGTGGAGTATATATAAAGAAACAAACAGTAGATTTATTCAATCTAATAAACCTATGAGGAATCAAAGAAATAACAGAAGAGCTCTGAATCAGCTTTATGATTATTGCAATTGTACAGAAACTGGAAAATTAGAGTTGACTTTATTAAGAAATTTAAACATTTAATATATCTTGAAAAGTATCTACGATAAACCAGCATTTACCAAACCTTCTAAAATACTCTATAAAAACAATCAAACTAGAGATGTATTCAATAGTTTGATTGATTTTCTGTTACAAAAAGTAATTTAAACAAAGTAAGCAGATAACATTAATAGTTTGAAAACTGAATATAACTTATGAGAAATCTGGGAAAAGTACACAGACCTATGCAACAGTTTTAAATACTTAATATACTTCCTTAGGGATTTATACATTCAGCAACAACAATAAAAAACATACCCCATACTTTTAATTATAACTCATGTACCAAACAGGGACTACAGAAAAACAGTAGACTTATTCAAGCATTAGAATATTTAAAAATACCTTGTAACCAATTTAACAAAAACAGCAGCTTAGTTTAAAAAGCCTGATTTGTTTCTTATGGAAAAAAGCCTGATAATGTCTGTGATAATCAAATATATATCTGCATAGCATGAAATTAGTGTCCCATTGTACCTCTTATTTGCAATTAACAGAAACATCCTAAATATATCAACAGATGTTCACATAATTTCATTAAGAGCCCACTTATAATACTAGCAAACATTTTCTTAGAACTTTATCGTAAAAAACATACTAATATCACATTGTTCTTCTTATCTGATGTTTTGTTTGATACTTATGGCAATGTGGTAATCTTCATCAAACACTATAATTATAATGAAATTTAATACTTAGAAAATAATATTAGTTCGAATAGTACATAATTAACTAAATTCAACCAAAGTTTAAGTCCTTTTTATCTGTATATGAGTATGGGTAGATAGGATGTTTAATTGTCAACAAGGCTATGTCACAAGTGACAACATTTAACATCAGAAGATGAAAGAGAATTGTAGTCTATGCTTGCTGAAAAATGATATTAAAGGATAAATACATTTTGTGTGAATTCCAGTGAAGAGTATCTAGTATTATTACGTATCTGGTCGTTTGTTAATTTCCCGAGGAACTTCAGTGATACGAGTCCTTTCTTAAATAAACCTAGTTTATTCTTCCTCAATACAACATTGCAATACACAGATTTTCCAGTCACTTTAACTTAAACACACGCTATAATTCACAATGATTTACACACTTTACTTATGGCTTGACTCAATTATCCCGTTATCAATTTATCTGCCGGCTTATATACTAAAATAGAGGGCGTCTAGCAAATGCTGGGACAATCGTGAGGTTCCTCGATCCTTCTAGAATCTCATCACGTGTTACCAGCGTCACGTGACTTCCACTGTTGTAACAGTATTATACTCAATAACTCTTAACGTTTTGTTCAATTGAAACATTTAGAGTGCTTTTGAACTATATATCCATATATGGTGTATTAACTGTGGAAAGATCATAACACTGAAAACACAAGGCACACAGTATTTTTATGATTGAGGCATAAACAAATTGTGGTGGTAGATATTAATTATACTATTACTAATCACCATATTGGCTTTCTTTTTAATTGATTGAAATAATATTTTTCTTATTTTTTTTCCAAACATCTATAGCTAGTCATAGTACAATTGCCGTATACCACTTGATTTCCAGTACCACCTGTTGAAAAAGACCTGTTTTGTTATTTTTTTCATAAACAGCCATTACGAATTGTAATGAATTACCAAGGGCTATGCAAGTTTCACTCCAAGATGACTACCTTCTAAGATATCTTTACAATTTATGTGCTACAGGAAAAACTGGTGATCTGATGTACATTCACATTCTATTTTTGTAATTGAAATTTGATTAAATTTAATCAATCTATTTGATTCCTTCTCTCCTTTAAACTTGAAATAAAGGATGCTTGGTGTAAGGGACAGTTGACTTGTGTTATCTCTTCTCTGAGATGCACCAATATTTTAAGTCTGTGAATAGCAAACAGACTAATTTGTGTCCATGTTCTCTCTAGATAATGATAGAAGGACGATATTGTTGCGTCAGCGAGGTCACGTGACTAGTGTCACGCCACTTCTCTCGAACCT